GGAACGGAGGTACCCTGCGTTCCAAGCCTCTTTTTGCTCGTTTCATTTCCGCCTAATGTAGCGATTCGTCACTTCTGGTTTTGGCTGTGCGTTCCATAGTGCGTTCCACTGTGGATTCCAGCTCTCATATAGTTCATAGTTTTATTGCACAATCATTTTTCGTTGTGTGGAATAGGAGAACATCGTAATAGTCTATTAGTCATCTCATTAAGACTTAAAATAGATTTCATCAAAGTTTTACAATTAACACATTTAAATGAATAAAAACTTATGTATAACATAATGTCTTAGTGATTTATTCTTGTAATTTAATAAATTATTTACACATTATATTGGAATTTGGAAAATTGAATACTATACATCTAAAACCCGTATTAGTGACATATATGGTAATCATTAAAAATATACTGAATTGTAAAAAGGTGTTAATACATAATTAAAAGGTATTAATACATAATTAATGAAAAAGAATGATATATTTTAACCCCTTAAGGACCGAGGACGGTTCAGGACCGTCATCGGCATTTTTGCCTTGAGGACCGATGACGGTCCTGAACCGTCCTAACGGTCAGAGCTACTTACCTGATCGCCGTCGTTCCCCCGGCGGCGATCAGCGTGGCTCCGGTTGTGGGGAGACTGCCTGCAGCCCAGACAGTCTCCCCACGGCAGATTAGGACCCCTGTGGCCATGTGATCGCTTAACACAGCGATCACATGGTCACAATAGGTGTCCATGTGTCTGCCTGCAGGGGGACTGTCTGTGCTGACAGGCAGTCTCCCTGCATGTGTAAAATCAAAAAATAAAAATAAAGTTAGTGTTAATAAAAAAAAATAATTATATATGTGTATATATGATATATAGACATATATTATATCTATATAATATATGTCTATATATCATATATATAATGCCATACTAAGTGTATTTTTATATTAATATGTACTTATATTAATATAAAAATACACTTATAATTAAATTACACACGTATATATATAATATATATAATAACTATATATATTGTATATATATATTATTATAAAATATAAATAATAAGTAATTTAAATTAAATAATTTTTTTTAAATAATAATAAAAAATTTAAAAAATTATATAGCTATATGAAATTTTATTCTAACTGTATTTTAAAATTAATATATATATTTTATATCAAAATACACTTAGAATGAATTTGTATATATATCTATGTATATAAAAATAAATAAAAATAATAAGAAATATACATACGTCCATATACAAAATTACATAAATAATTATATAAATATACACGTAGACTTCAAATATATAAATATGCATATATATTTAAATTCTACGTGCGTATTTATGTAATATTTTTACATAATTCAGTAATTTTATTGATTGCAATTTGAGGGACCTGCCTGCCAACCCAGGCCGAAATTCCAGAGAATTTAATTTGCTAGCACTGTATTTTACCCTGTAACGTTCTACGACACCCTAAAACCTGTACATGGGGGGTACTGTTTTACTCGGGAGACTTCGCTGAACACAAATATTAGTGATTCAAAACAGTAAAACATATCACAGCGATGATATTGTCAGTGAAAGTGACTTTTTTGCATTTTTCACACACAAACAGCACTTTTACTGATGATATAATTGTTGTGATACGTTTTCCAGTTTTTAAACACTAATATTTGTGTTCAGCGATGTCTCCCGAGTAAAACAGTACCCCCCATGTACAGGTTTTATAGCATTTTTGAAAGTTACAAGGTCAAATATATGGGTCAAATATTTTTACATTGAAAATGGCCAGGTTGGTTACGTTGCCTTTGAGAGCGTATGGTAGCCCAGGAATGAGAATTACCCCCATGATGGCATACCATTTGCAAAAGAAGACAACCCAAGGTATTGCAAATGGGGTATGTCCAGTCTTTTTTAGTAACCACTTGGTCACAAACACTGGCCAAAATTAGCGTTCAATTTAGTTTTTTTACTTTTTTCACACACAAACAAATATGAATGCTTACTTTGGCCAGTGTTTTCGACTAAGTGGCTACTAAAAAAGACTGGACATACCCCATATTGAATACCCTGGGTTGTCTACTTTAAAAAAAATATGTACATGTGGCGTGTTATTCAGAGATTTATGACAGATAATAGTGTTACAATGTCACTATTGATAAATTTTAAAAATTTATGTTTTGAAACCGCAATATCCTACTTGTACCTATAGCCCTATAACATGCAAAAAAAAGCAAAAAAGCACGTAAACACTGGGTATTTTTAAACTCAGGACAAAATTTTGAATCTATTTAGCAGTTTTTTTCATTCGCTTTTGTAGATGAGAAAGATTTTTCAAGTAAAAGTCAAAAAACATGTATTTTTTTCAATTTTTCATCAGATTTTTGTATTTTTTTTAAATTAAAATACATGAGATTATATAAATAATGGTATGTAAAGAAAGCCCCTTTTGTCCTGAAAAAAACAATATATAATTTGTATGGGAACAGTAAATGAGAAAGCGGAAAATTACAGCCAAACACAAACACCACAAAAGTGTAAAAATATGCCTGGTCGCAAATGTACAACATCGCAAAAACAGTCCAGTCCTTAAGGGGTTAAAGTCAATTAAAATCAATTATGTCTTGGTTATTTCAATAAGGGTCTATACACAAAGCTTTGCTGTGGGACCTATATTAAAATAATTTCATTAAAAATATACTGCATATTAAAAAATATTTATTAAGATATTTAGCATTAGGAAAAATTTATATGAGGAAATGGCACATTTCGAAGTCTGAATTAAGACCATTTGGGATAAGGCAATTTAATTTAAATATCCATTCCATTTCTGTTCTACTTAATTTTAAATTAAAATTGCCTCCTCTCCAATCTTTCTTTACTTTGCTAATTCCTAAAAAAGTGGTGCCTTTTGGATCACAGTTGTGATGAGTTTTATAGTGTAATGATACACTATGGTTTTCAAAACCTTTACTTATATTCCTACTATGCTCTTCTATTCTCATATGAAGAGGTCTAGTCATTTTTCCTATATATTTTAGCCCACAAGGACATTGTATAAGATAAATAAGGTTGAGTGGCAAGTAATAAATTCTTTAATTTCGTATTCTGTGTCTTCATTTATATCAAACTTTTTTACAAGTCTATTTTTGTTATCAGTTTTTTTGCATGCTAGGCATTGCCCGCATCCAAAAAAAATCTTTTTCTATATTCAGGAAGGTAAGGTTTGTCATCTTAGGTTTCTCCTTTATGTAACTTGAAGTTAATGCGTATTTATTTTTTACTCCTCTATGTATAAAGTTGGGTTTGTCCGGTAAAAAATTATTTACCAATGAAATTAGTAAACTCTCTTAACTGTAATTTTAGTTCAGACAATTACCAAGTGAGGAAAATTGTGTCAAAATATTGGCCTATTCTTTTACAAGATCCTACCTTAAATAATGTTTTACCTGACAAACCCAACTTTATACATAGAGGAGTAAAAAATTTAAAATACGCATTAACTTCAAGTTACATAAAGGAGAATCCTAAGACAAAAAGGTCTTTAATACAAAAGAAAATATTGGAATTAAAGGTATAGATTCAGATATTCCACACCTATTCTATTCATATAAGCGCTGCACCGATACTTTTTCTTGTTCTATTTTTCCTATAAAGATACTGCGGTGATATAGCAGCTACTTAAACCTGGTGAATATAATTTCTATATTAAAATAAGCACTCAAATAGCGCTAATACTTTCCCTACATTCTTTATTATTAGTTTCATTTTTATTTTAATATTTATTTTGATTTTCATATTTATTTTCATTTTTATTTTTATTTGAATATATCCAGATATAAATATATAATGGATGCAACTAATACTTGTTTTCTAATTACAAACAGATCACTCAGTACATTCTAGAATACCGATGTATAATAAAGGAATTTGTTTATTGTTGATCTGTATACACTTGTGATTTTATGTAAAGGTGTTGAGCATAACAACAACAATTAATTAATTCCCTAATATTAAGGGAGATACGCCTGAATTCATCTCAAGCTTGTGAGTTCTCTACTACCACCACCCTCCATATGTGTTAATGGTATTACTTGTATAACAATTTATTTAAACTTTTTATTTTACAAAAGTCTGAAAAAATTTATTTTACCATTTGTAACAAAAAAAAAAAAAAAAAGAGAGACATGAAAAAGGATATACAGAGCTCAAAGACAGACAATTTGCAGGACTGTTTAGGCCCCAGGAAGGTTTATATGTACAATAGTGTTCACATTTTACCAAGGAAAACAAACAAAAAAACAGAAACAACCAAGTATAATCTTATCTATCACTTGTACATAAAATATGCCTCTAAATCAGGAATCTCAAACTCTGGACACACACATGCTGATGGCCTACAACTTCCAGAATTCTTTGAATGCAACAGATGGGCAGTGAACCATAGGAGTTACAGTTAAGTAACATGGGGTACTGTGAATGTACTGTGAATGTACCTATAACTAACTGCAAAAGTACCTGTCAAATACATGTGATTGTACCTACCAAGTGGGCGGGAATCAGCAAACCGTCGTGGGGACACGGAGAGCGAGAGATGGAAGAAATTATTAGGCTTTCCCATAGGGATACGCTTATTGTATGACCACAACACACTGTCCCATAGAGGAAGCAGAACGTACTGCTTTCTAGGTATAGAGTGTGTACGTCTTATGTATATATTGTATATAATTTATATATTGTATATATTTTAATTGCCAGTTGTATAACAGTGGATATAGTGCATTGATGGAATCTATTTTTACCTCCCCACCCCAACCCTCCCCTTCTTTTCTGTACCCCCTCCCGCTCGAAAACAATACAAATTGTCAAATTTAAAATAAGGACTAATATGTACATGTGAAAGAATTAAATAGATATTCAACCTCAAAACTTGCATGTACAAAAATCTCGGACATCCTATCAATGTATTTTTGAACTTCTAGGGGACAATATAGCTCAGTGGGTTAAAATTCAGCTACAAAGTTTAAGACCTCTGGTGGTTTAATTCCCATCCAGGTGAAAATAAAAGTAGGAAAAAAACAAAAAAAAAAACCTAGCCATATAGAATGAACAATGTACCCTAAGTAAACTGTCAATTCACCAAAACAAACTAAACAAAAAAAGGGGGAATTTACACACTATTCAAACATAGTCTGACGAACTTCAACACTTAACTTGAAGATGTTCATAGAACACAATTAACACTACACTGCAGTCATATACGGACTAGTATGTGGACTCAAATCTACTATAAAAAAAAAAATGTTATGGTCCCTTCTGAAGCATATGAATACTAGCCAAAGTGGACTATACCATAAAGGATCTGAATATTTTTTTCTCTATTTTTAAATTCTGCCTGCAATCAAGTTTTTGTTGTGTACACACAGATATGTTTCTTCTTGCAGTATCAGAATGGTATTATCTTTGCCTCCTGTATAACTTGACTGGTGGCTGAAATTGTCCAACAATCAAGAGGAGAAAGGAGGAAGGTGTAAGCACTGAAATCTGATTAACATTCTGCCCTAGGTAGTACTGAAAGGAAGAAAGAAAGTGAAACAGAAAACATTAAAAAAAAAAAAAAACCAAACACAAAGAACAAAAAAATTATAATTCCACCAGAATTAGAATATTGCTGTACAAAAAAATACCATCATTCAGCACAATTTTTCACTGTTAAAAACAGCCCATTTTGGATCGGTTCACCATATGCCAAAAACAAGAAACCAAATACTTAACCGTAACCTTTGCTGTATATTACAGTGTGTATGATACACACAATAAGTAATCCTGATACATTTTTACTTTTTTTGCAACATTTAACATAAATGTGCATATATAACAAAGTATTATTTTAATTAAACCTCTTCATCCAAAGAGACCCTTTTTTTCCACCATTTTTACTTTCTTGGTCGCATTAGACTGTGCAGCTTTTTCTTTATTTGCTTCAAACCATTCAGGTAGTTTCCTCTTAGGAGTCGTTCCACTATTCTCTATCTGTGATTCTGAGAATAGCTCCTCTGTATCTGCATCCAGTAAGGGTTGATTCCACGATGCCAACTTGATGGGAACCAGATTCTGTGCTTTAGGTGCCTCTTGTCTTACGGGTTCTGTCTCTTGTATACTAGGTTTACTTGCTTCTGCTGGCTTCTTTTTTTCTATCCACGCAGGGCTGGGCAAGGATGTTCTATGCTGTGTGTTCTCAGATGGTGCACCTTGCTGTGATGTAGGATGTGGGATAGTTGTGTTGGAGACAATGTTCTCATTATAGCCCTCCTTTTCTAAAAGTGCTATCACCATCCTGATTAGGTAGATGTCAATGTGGGGTGGGACCAGATCATGAATAGCTTTAAAACTAGACAGATCTGAGTTAATTGGAGGTTTTTTAATAATATCCATAATGGTCTTCTGTATAGTGGGAGTCAGGCCAGCTCGTTGCACATTGACAGGGTAGCCAGCTTTCAGTGCCTGGCACAGATGCATGCCAACAGCGGCCATGCTCAAACTGCGGGGGTCTGCGATAGTCCGCATAGATAAATGTTGTTCCTGGAAAAGTGAATAAGTTATACGCTGAGAATCTGGTAGCAACATAGGCACAGGACCTTTCTGTATTACCACATTTGCCTCTAAATTAGTCTTGTAACTGGCAAATGTATCTGTCTGCAAACTATTCGCTAGGCAAAACTCTTTGACAACTGCAAAAAGGGGAGCCAACATGGAAGCCTTTGCCTCCAACACACCATCAAGCTTTTTCATGTTTTCAACTGTGGTTGGTCTCATTTTAGCCATGTCCACAAGAACTTTGTTAGTATCCAAGACAGCAGGTGGTATGTCCTTCTCACTGGCAAGCTTCTGCCTGGCTGAGACCAGCTTGCCGTATAAGGAAGTCTGCAGCTCCAATTCCCGGGGTGATACAGGAGGTTCTTCAGGCTTCGAGGGTGTGACTGGAGACTGCAACCTCAAACTGCACTTGGAGACTTCAGGAGTTCTGGGAAGTTTGTCTGCTTCTTGATAGGAATATTTACCCTTCAACGTTTTCTGGATATCTGCTGCAGGTTTATCTGATCTTGCATCTTGAGAAGGCTGCCTTACTGAAGGTGAACGTGATGGAAGATTGCTAGAAACAGTGAGTCGTGGAGGACACAATTCTTCACTAGGCTGTAGGAGCAAGCTTGGACAGGATTGGTTTGCAGCTTTGCTAACCCAGTTTCTGCCCTTCATAGTAAGGTCACACAAGGTTGCAAACTTATGTCCAGAAGATTCTTGAAGGAATCCCTCGTTGATAAGCTGTCTTGCCAAAGCTTTCCAGAACACCTCGGTTTGGTCTTTGCCCTTTCCATAAAGAGGATTACAGCGATATCTATCTGGCAAACGCTGGGAGTTCGATCCACGTAGAAACAGGACTGGTACACCAGTTCCAAATTTCCCACCCAAAGCATCTACTGCTGATATCAACTTGTAAGCCAGCAGTCCGAAGTCTTGTAGGTTGTCCTCTGTTTCATTGAATGAAAGATTCAATTTTAACCTGGTCTTGCAGTTATCACAGCATTTTTCTGTTCCCATGATGCCTGAGGTGACCTTGCGGAGTTGTTTGTCTTCAAAATGAGACAAGATGATTTTGCGCCTGCAGCTGTTTGAATTTAGGTATTTTTCCATCTTCCCCAACATTTTCAATTTGTACTGCTGAAAATGCTGGTTTTGTATCTCATTCAACATGTGTGTTAAAATTCATATCTGATGGAGCCCACAGTGCATGACAGCACCTAGGAAGCCCATCTCTTCCAGCTCGACCGATTTCCTGGTAGTATGACTCCATTTCTTTAGGGGCCCCATAGTGGATCACTTTGCGAATGTCTGCCTTGTTTATGCCCATGCCAAAAGCAACTGTAGCCACAACACACTGGCGTTCATCCCTCATGAACCAATGATGTATTTCCCTCCTTGCTTTGATCCCCATGCCGGCATGGTAAGTGCCACATTTAATGCTCAGTTTAAGCAGCTCTGCTGTAACTTGCTCAGATGTCTTCCGGGAAGGGCAGTAAACAATTGTAGCTCCTTCAAACTCCCAGCCAGACCCTTTTTTTTTTTTTAACAATAAATTGTTGCAGATCCTTGCTGATATTAGAGGTTTTACGTCCTACATCAAGGTATAGGTTTGGCCGATCAAAACTAGTGCAGGTTATCTGTGGATTGCGCAAATTGAGGGACCTCGTTATGTCATCACGGATTGAGGGGCTTGCCGTTGCTGTCAAAGCTACAATGGGCACCGAGGGCAGTGTTCTTTTAAGAGATCCCAAATTTCGATATGCACTTCTGAAATCATGGCCCCATTCAGAAATGCAGTGCGCTTCATCTATTGCGATCAATGTGATACCATATTTGAAATATATCAGATCCTCAAGAAGGGACAATCCACTGGAGCAGAACTCGGGAGTCATATAAATGACTTTAAACTTGCCTGCCTTGATGTCATGCATAACATTTTTCGACTGTGCAGACCCAACAAAACAAGAACGAATGTTTGACATCTCAAGCTGCAACACCTGGTCTTCCATCAGAGAAATAAGGGGACAAATCACAATGCCAATGCCACAAGTATAAACAGGGGCAAACTGGTAACACAAACTGTTTCCATAGCCAGTTGCCATGACTACAAGGTTGCCTCTTCTTTCTTTTAAAACGGAATGAATGACTTTCCACTGAACTGGCTTAAAACTTGAATGGCCAAAATAAGTCTTTAAGCACGAAATTTGGTCCAGAGTTGGTTCAGGCACAGACTGATCCCAATCATCTTCATCCTCCTCTTCAATGCCTTCATCGTCGTCATCATCTAAAGCGTTGATCACTTCTTTGTCAAATGTCTGATCTTCCTGCAGATACTTTATATCATCCTCGATTATTTCCTCACTCTTGTCCAGCATATCTAAGGTCTCAAGCATCTCATTTTCCAGCTCTTGGTCACTATCAATTACAAAGGATGGGTCCATTTCTTCATCAGTTTCAATAAACTCAGTCACGGCATGTTCCACAACAGCCTCTTCCTTTTGGATGCAGTCTTCTAATGGACTGTTTTCTTCTCTGGAGGAATCCAGCATTATGTTTCTTAGTTCATCGACTCTCTCCGAAAGATCACCCAGAAAATCCATACCTCTTTGAGCATCTTTACAGTTTCCAAAACTGCTTGGGACCTTGTCTACCAGATCAAGAAATTGCTGCGACAGACTTCTCAGCTGCTGTTTAACTTCCATGGGCTCAACATTAGTCCCTTTGAGTATACAAAGAGCTGCCTTCTCTTGGTCATCCATCCTTTCTAATTTCTCGTATATTTGAAGTCCAGCATAAGCATCAGAGGCAGCATATAGTCTCTGCTCCTCAGTGAGAGGATACGCATCCCATCTGCTGCAGCGTACAGATTTGTCCTTCAGTAGTTGTTTTTTGAACAGGTGCTTCACCAAGCCATTGAGACTCCACTTTTCTTTGCATTTAAGCTTTTCATTGGCCAAGTCTGTAAGTTCAATGAATCCCTTCAGTTTTAGGTCACAATCACTCATTAACTTCCACTGATCGCCTTCGATTCCTACTCCAACTTTACTTATTGATGTATCTTCCAGCAGTCTTTTCAGCCCTTTTGGGAAGCCTGCCATTGCGGAAACATGAAACAAGTAGCATTTTCTTTCTGACACGCACACCTGAACAAGGGCCACTTTGCCATTTTTTCCCTTCGTATATATAGCAGGCCATTCAATGTCAAAACCAAGTACGGCCTGTTCGGACAGCTCAGATCTGATAAGCTCTGACAACAGGGAGCAGTCATTTGATTCATAGCTATAGACTATTGCACCATTAAACTCAAAGAACGGGAGGTCATCTTCCAAGATATTCTTCTTAAAGAAAGCCTTTGTACCATCACTTGTGCTTTCTCTGTCTTTGGCAGACATCCACTGTGGCAGCTTCCGTTGCTCACTGGTCATCCTGTGTTAAGTAATAGGATGATATTCCAAAAAGAAACCCCAGGAGCCCGCTTTCGCGCCACTTCCTTTACGACGTCACGAGCTGTCACCGCGTCCTCCTGTTAATGGTATTACACTATATATTTTATATTTCACTATATCTAAGGCAGAATACACCTACGTTATCCAGTTTGCATTATTTTTTATTATCACTTTGTGGTTAACAACACAGCTTTTCCCTTTGGTTTTTTTCTTTTCTGATTTACGTATATGGCCTTTACTTAAAGATTCCTTGTTGTACTCATCCATGATTTTACTTTCTTGTGGGGATAGGGTATATAGCGCTCCTTTAGGAGGCATAGCCCTGGGCGACAGATCAATGTAACAATCATAAGATCTATGTGGAGGAAGAGCATTAGTCTGTCTTTTACTAAACACCTCTCTAACCTCCCAATACTGTATGGGAATTTCGGGAGTCAGAGAAGTAGCAGTGGGTAAAGCAATGATGCCTACTTTTTTAGAAATGGGTAACATGCAGCTTTCCTGACAGTGTCTACCCCATTCCAGCATTTCCCCTCTAGTCCAGTCAATATGAGGGTTATGCTTGATCAGCCAAGGGAACCAGAATACGATGGGACAAGAAGGGGTAGTGATTATCTGGAAAGTAATGTCTTCCTTATGCAAAGCTCCTATGCAAATAGGCAAGGTCTCATGGGTAATAAGAGATTGAGATAGGGGTCTCCCATCAATTGCCTCAACCGCTAGAGGTGATGATCTCACCTTGACTGGTATAGTGTGTTTTTAATACAAATTAATAAAGTTACCAGCTGCACCTGAGTCAACCAGGGCTTTGCATGAAAAGTTCTCCTCATTCAAAAAGGCAGAAATGTCAAGGAGAAATCTGCTTCGGGAATTACTAGAGGACGTATCCATTACACCTAAAACCTGTTTTTTAAGGTTCTTAGTTGCGGAAGTTTTCCGGACGTATAGGAAAAGCATCTCTCATATGCCCTTTCTTGCCACAAAATAAGCACAGACCCACTCTTCTATTATAATGTTTCTCTGCCTTAGACAGTCCTGTAACCTCTAACTGCATAGGTTTGGGTTCAGTGTTGAGAGGTCAGGGACAACAGGTTTGGAGAATCAGGGTGCTAGTGACAGTCAAACGTCTAGTTCTGTTTCTAGTAATTTCCCTGGTCCTGAGTCTATTATCGTTCTGCATCACATAGGTAATAAAGTAATTTAACCCCTTAGGTAAGTCTTTGGCAGCAATTTCATTAAGTATAACTTCAGATAATCCTTTTTTAAAGCAGCAGTTAATCGTTGTTAGTCCAGTCTACCTCAGATGTCAAGGTATGAAATTCTATGGCATAATCTGAGATAGACCGGTTCCCTTGTTTGATATGCATCAGGGCAGTGGAGGAGTCTTCCTCTCTTTCTAATGGTTCAAACGTCAGTAACAATGAGTGATACTCCTATTACTTTAACATTAGCCCAGGTTAAGGCCTTACCTTTAAGTTTGTTCATCAGATACCCAATCTTAGCTCTATCTAAAGGAAATTAACCAGGTGAGGCCTCAAAGTGGTACTCAATCTGTTTGAGAAGTCCCCTACATTCCTGGATATTACCAGAAAAATGCAGGGGAGGAGATAAGGAGATCGTAGGTGCCTTTATACTATAGGTGGAGGTACATTAGGCAGTGGTGACATAATTGGACAACTCTCAGGTTGTAAATGAGTCGTCCTAGTAAGGAGCGTGCTAAAAGCCTGGGCAAATTGATCCATACGGTGATCATTCTCCTCTAGCTTTCTCTCACAAGCTGCTATGTGCTGACACAATTCTGCAGGATCTATGGCAATGTCTTAAAGTCGATCAAGCACATAGTACTGTGTCACAATTAGGACTAAGAATAGTCAAAATACTAGCTGAGGTCAGGGACACAGAATCAGACACAAAGAGGAGGGAAAGCCAAAAGTCAAGGATACCAGATATCAGGGAAGTCAAAACAAAGCCAAAGTCAAATACCAGAAAATCAAGATCAGTAACGCACTCTTGGATAACCATAGGCATGAAACCACAACAGGGCAATGAGCAAGAGGAGAATTGGGTTTAAATACCCCTCCTATGGATCCGATTGGCTGTAACCGTCCTTTGACCCCAAAGGCAATTACCATGTTTCCATGTGCATGATTGCTGCTTGGCACAACTTTTCCTGTCAGGACGGTAATGTTGCTCGGCACAACTTTTCCTGTCAGGACAGTGAATGCCATTAATCACATTTTATGTGCAGATGAAAATGTGACCCACTCACACTGGAGCCTTTCCTGAACAAAATTTGGACCAACGAGAACATCTGCGGAGTGGAAATAGGCCAAACTGATCATAAAATCCTTGCCTATGCGACCTATTTAAGGGACCCAGTCGCTTCCTTGCAAGTTATCACAACAGAAATCCAACAATGCGGATGTATCTCTAACCTACAAATTAATTACTCCATATCCGAAATCCTGGCCATGCACAGCGATGGACATTGCAGCTTCAACATCCCTTCCACTGGTGCACAAAACAGATGCGATACCTAGGGGTATTGCTCACCCCGGACTGTGCAGACTTATACACACATAACTTTGTGCCTATCCTTAAAGCGGTAGTAGGAGAAAAGCACACATGGAACTCATACTACATCTCATGGCTGGGAAGTGTGAATGCAGCGAAGATGACCTTACTCCCGAAACTTCTCTTCCAGACCATTCCAATATCAGCCCTGAAGACCTTCTTCACCACACTAAATGTGCAGGTTCGCAAATTCATATGGAAATGTAAATCTCCCCGCATAGTTCACTCACAACTGACGCTGCCCAAACTCAAAGGTGGGCTAGCCCTCCCAAACTTCAAAAAATACTCAATTGCAACACATTATACAAGAATCATGAGCTGGACCATGGAATCGAAGGACAAACCATCGGTTAAACTAGAAGCGGACAGCACCAACTGCGATCTACGGACCCAACCATGGATCACAAGGGAAGCAAGCAGACAATACCAACTCACAAACCAATTTTTGAAAGTAACACTCTGAACTTCGCATCAACATGGCACCAAGTACTACCTCATGACAGACCCTGGCACCTTGATCCCCTTGAAAGGTAATCCAGATTTTCCTCCCACACCTGTCGAAAAACACAAACCACTACTTCACATAAACATGATGGTCAAACCGTTCGCAGTCCGCCCGATTGCTGACCTCTTTCCAGAACAACACACATTCCTACATACAATGGCGAGAGAACAAATATCGCGCTATGCCAAATCAATACCACAAAAACCCAACCTACTTCGAGACCGAACCGATTTCAAATTTGTCTGCCTACAAGAACGATGCCTTCAAAAGCCTCACTAGTGAGAAATTGTTACCTCTTAGCAACCCCCTGCATAAGACAATGGGAAGAAGACCTTGATGAAATGCGCACAGAGGTGGAATGGGACAAAATCATTACCCATGTCCAAATAAACCCCCCAAAAAAACAGGATCTACGCGACTGCAGGAGAACGCATATAAAGTCTTCACAAGATGATACTTTACCCCCTTAATCCCAAGAGATCCCCGACTGGCCACAGACGTCACCCAACTCACCACTAGAAACATACACAAACAACCATACCATGCCAATACAACAGACAGTTGCGCTTTCCGTCAGCACTGGAGCAACGTCAGAAACATACACACCTGCTTAACACAAATACCGCCGGGTTAGATGATCACCCGCTTAATATTTGACCACACTGACACAAACACAACAAATGTTTTTCACACACCATGCTTTAGGAGACGGAGGTTAAGGGCGGTCATCACATCATATGAGCATGTGCCCAGCCATACGGCACTTAACTACACACATTCTTGCATTATATGTACATCTATACAAATTAAGAGACTCTTTGCTTAATATTATGGACTAACATGCCTCTGCATAGGTGATCACAAGCATTGTTTGTCACTTAGCAATATGTTTGCATTTACTTGCTCATCAAAAAAAACTAAAAAAACTACTTACCTGCCACAAATAATGATCGTTGTTTGCACATCACTCCCTGCATGGGAAAACTGCTTAATAAGTCGCTTTCACAAAACAATACAAGAATGTAATTGTTCTGCCACATGGAATGTATTGTGGGGAATTTGTTTTATAAGGTTGACCTCAATAAAACAGATTTAATACAAATTTTGGGATATATCATTTATACACACATAGAAGATACTTAATAGTGAAGAATGTATTATAAAACTCATTAAACTCATTAGCTCCTTTGGCTTTCAATATCATTTCTATGCAGATGACACGCAAATCTACCTGTCCTCTCCTCGTCCCTCTTGACTAGTGTCTCTGACTGCCTCTCTGCTATTTCTAACTGGATGGCTGCCCACTTCCTTAAACTAAACGTGACCAATACTGAAATTCTGGTCTTTCCTCCCTCAAGTGTTGTTACTCATGTGTCTCCCTCCAAGTAAACGGTGCTACTATCAGCTCCACCATGCAGGGTCGCTGCCTAGGTGTTCTCTGACTCCGACCTCTCCTTCAAGCCTCATGTTCAAACTATCACCAAATCCTGTCATTTCCATCTCAAAAACATTGCGCACATCCGCCCCTACGTAACGCCAGATGCGACTAAGGTGTTGGTCCATTCCACTGTCCTTTCTCGCCTTGACTACTGTAATTCGCTTCTCAGTGGTTTTACGTGCTCCCAACATGCGCTGTTACAGTCCATAATGAATGCGGCAGCGCCGCTCATCTTCCTGTCCGCCAGCACCTCCCATGCCTCACCCTTCTGTCAGTCCCTACATTGGCTTCCTATAAAATATAGAGCTCAATTTAAAATTCTGTTTTTTGCTTTCAAATCGCTACATAATGCTGCTCCCACCTATCCTTCCTTATACACAAGTATGTCCCGTCTAGGCCCCTACGATCTGCTGAAGACTATCTTCGGTCCGTACTCCCACCTCTGATGCTCGCCTTCAAGATTTCTCGAGGGCTGCACCGTTCCTGTGGAACTCGCTTCCCTTCTCCGTTAGTCAGGTCCCAATACAAACACATTTATAGAG